GCAGCAGCAGTTTGGGTGTGGGAGGGCGCTCAGGGCTGGGGCAGGGGGTTAGTGTGCTGGGTGGCGCTTACCTTGGGGGGGGGGGGGGCGCCCAGGCTCCCATCGGTATGTCCCTGCAGCTCTTAGGCGGAGGGGCCAGGGGTCTCTTTGCACTACCCGTGACCACAGGCACTGCCCCCACAGCTCCCATGGGCTGCGTTCCTGACCAATGGGAGCTGCGGAGCGGGCCCTTGTGGTGGTTAGCAGTGGGCGGAGCCCCCTGGCTGCCCCTCCCCCTGGGATTTGCAGGGACATACGGGTCATAGCCAGGCAGGGAGCCTACCAGTCCCACCAACCCTCCCTCCCAGCACCAGCGGGGGTCCTGGACCACCCCCACAGAGCACCCCCAGCTCAAGTTTTAGTTAAGGATATATAGTAAAAGTCATGCACGGGGCATGGGTCATGAATTTTTGTTTACTGCCCGTGACCTGTCCATGACTTTTACTAAAAATACCTGTGACTAAAACATAGCCTTAAACAGAAGTACACACTGATGGAAATTGAAAGAGGGCAGAGCTGTCCTATGTACATGGTATTGCACACCAACCAGCTAAACCCCCTGTGTGGACAAGGTCTCAGTCAAGGACCCTGGACAGAGGAGTGCTGAGTTGGCATCAGGCCAGGGCTGGGCTGGGGGAGTGTAACGATGCTGGTTCCGGCGGGACCCAACTGAGAGTGCCAATTCAGGACAAATTGCTTAAAACAGGGCACTTACAGCCCAAGGCTGGGGCTTTTCCACCTCTAAGGCAAACCAAACCAGCCAGCCAGAGAGGACTTTGGTTTCGCCCCACTGGCTAACCACAAATCACACAAGCAATTCCCTTAGACACTCCAGTTTCCCAGTATAACCACCAGTGCCACTCGTTATGGGGACAAATGGTTACGAAAACCAATGCCCTAATAAAAGAAAAAGGGTTCTCCCAATCCCAAAGGACCAAACCCCAGACCTAGGTCAATATACAAATCAGATCTTACCCACAAATCATGCTGTTGCCAGTCCTTTAGAATCTAAAAACTAAAGGTTTATTCATAAAAGGAAAAAGATATAGATGAGAGCTAAATTTGTTACATGGAATCAATTACACACAGTAATGGCAAAGTTCTTGGTTCAGGCTTGTAGCAGTGATGGAATAAACTGCAGGTTCAAATTAAGTCTCTGGAGTACATCCACTGCTGGATGGGTCATCAGTCCTTTGTGTAGAGCTTCCGTTTGTAGCAAAGTCCCTCCAGAGGTAAGAAACAGGATTGAAGACAAGATAGAGATGAGGCATCAGCCTTTTATAGTCTTTTCCAGGTGTAAGAACACCGCTTTTGTTCTTACTATGGAAAATTACAGCAAAATGGAGTCTGGAGTCACATGGGCAAGTCCCTGCATACTTTGCTGAGTTACAAGGCGTATCTGCCTTCTCTCAATGGGTCAACTGTATAGCTGATGGTTCTTAATAGGCCACCAAGCAGGCTAGGCAGAGCTGACACCAACTTGTCTGGGGTCACCCAGAAGCATAGCAGAAGTTTGAAATACAGACAGTACAGAGCCAATATTCATAACTTCAACTACAAAAATGATACACATATACAGATAGCATAACCATAACCAGCAAACCATAACCTTGTCTTAGACACCCTATTTGACTCCCTTTATACAAGATTTGGTGCCACTACAGGACTTTGGTTGCAACAATGATCTATACAGTTCCAGTTCATGTCAATAATGTCACAGGGAGCCAAAGGCCTGAGCTGGAGGGGATACAGGTCACCCCTCCCTTCACCATCAGAGTCAGAGGGGTCCTTGGAGGGGCAGGTGACAGAAGTGTCTTCAGGACTCTGGATTCTGTGTCAGTTGCTGGGAAGAGCCAGCAGATGGATTTCCTGCCAATGATGCCGCTGACTATTGCTGAGAGGGGGAAGCATGGTGCAAGAACGTGCTTGTCACTATAACCCCTGCCCCATCTTACATGGCAAAATGAACCACTGACTGCAAAGCTCTGCCCACTGAGTCCAGTCTGTGCAGCTTGTGCAAAGACCGGAAGACAGGCCCCGCTCCTGGTATTGAATCCACACTTGCAAACCTTTGTGCCTGTATGGAGTCTGACTGAAATCAGTGGAGTGTGCCTGTGTGACTCCAAGTGCAGGATCAGGCCCCAAAGGAGACCATCTGGGAAGGAGCAGCCTAGGGAGATGAGCGGGGTCATGCTGCACTCCTCACCATTGCTGGTGAAATAAAAGAAAAATGCACTGTGGGTGGGAGAGGAAGCCTGCCTGTACCTAGAGCTCCCATATTCCTCGATTCCACAGCCTGGAACTTGCCACAGAATCTACCATTTCATATTTTTAAAAAGTACACTTCTAATCCTCGTGTGGCTATAGAGTAACTAGTGTGATTGAATGTAACCACTGCTGGAGTCTGAGGCAGCCTGAAAGGATAGCTGAGAGAGGTATGTGGACATACCAGTTCAGCTCATTAGGGAGACAAGGTGGGGGAGGTAACACCTTTTATTGGACCAACTTCTGTTGGTGAGAGAGACACGCTTTAGAACTACACAGAGCTCTGCTTCAGGGTGGAACAGATTATTTAGCATAAGTAGTTAGCACATATTGTAAGGGATCATTCAAGGCAGAAGGGCCTGTTAATACCTCTGCAGTCAAGACCAACTGTTCCACCTTGCAGTTTGGAGTACCTGTCCCAGCCCTGAAGAAGAGCTCTGTGGAGTTTGAAAACTTGTCTCTCACCAACAGAAGTGGGTTCAGTAAAATATATTCCCTCATCCACCTTGTCTTTCTAATATCCTGGGACCAACATGGCTCCAACTACACTGCATGCAGTTGAGATCACTGAATTGTAACTTGTGGATCAAGGCATGTTTCTGCTTTGGCTGCAGCTGAAGGAGTTGCATAGCTGCAGAATGTGTAACGTCTCCACTAGGGATCAGGGACTTGATCTGCTTTTTCATGCTAAAGTTGTGGTGTTTATGAGAGAGGCAGATCCCTGTGTGCTGGGTAGGTCATTGTTAAGGGGAAGCTGTGCCAGACTCTGACGTGCTGTAGGTCCTGCGCGGAGGCATTGCAGAAGCACGACACTTTGTTCTGGCTGGCTCTGTTTAGCTGTTTCCCCTTCTCTGTGCTGTTAAGTTTACTCAGGGTGGTTTTGTGTTTTTTTCTAATTTAGAGTAAAACTTGCCAGACTGAGAACACAGCTCCAAGCAGCGGGTCTGCGACTGAGGTGGGAATGCGAGGCTGGTGTGAAGAGAGCTGCTCACACCTTGGAGCTACGTACACTATGTGTCAGTCACTAAGGAGAAATCACATGCACAGCAACTCCGGGTGGGATGGGCAAAGGTTGGAGCCCTTTGTGTAAGCCTCCCCCTCAGAACATAGGCCCGGAATGGACCTCCTGGTTCCTCAAGTCCAGCCCCGTCACATAGTTCTCTTCCTAAATTTACCAAGCTCCATCTTAAAACGAGCTAGTTTTAAGCTTGTTTGCCCAGGATGAAAGTCATCTTGTTACTCCCTGCCTCCAGAGTGCTCCTGTATAACACACGGCACTTGTAATGAAACAAACGAAGGGTTAGTTAAGGAAGGACAGAGATTCCACTAGAAACGAGAGTGTGTGATGGGAACAAATGGCTACACTACAAAACAAAATCCTAAAATGTGAACGAGGACGGAGGCTTATTAACAGTTCCCTTTCCTAGCTTAAAACGGAGGTTTTGCCCTAACGTTCAGTCTGTTGCAGAGCTGGCTGGCTTCACTGGAACCAGGCTCCAATCTTCCATGAAACACCCCTTCACAAGGTGATCTCTCAAGTTCCCTAGCGCATCCTCGCAGCCCTTCTTTGCACCTGTTCCAGGCCGGATTCCTCTTTCTTGAACACAGGTGACCAGACCTGTGCACGTTGTTCCAGCTGAGGTCCCACGGCCTGGTACAATGACAGCAGGCTCAAGAGCCCTTGAGCTGCCAGCGCCTGAAGGCTACTGACTATTGACTCTGATCCTACAATGAGATCTCACAAGGGGTTGGTGGCAGGACCCGGGCCTAGGCCAGCTATTTTGGTGAGTGAATGGCTCTTCTCCAGATAGGGACAGGGAGAGGCTTGACGGTTTGGGACGGCAAAAGGATGGGGCAGCTGAGGTGGGTGAAAGAGAAGGGACAGTTGTGGTGGGGGGAGGGGAGTTAATGTTTCACATACACCCTGTAAGTAACGAAGTACAGGCCTGCCAGCCCCAGCCCCTCAGCTCACCTGCTGTGCCCCCCCACCCCCTGGCTTTGCATTCTTTGGGGCAGGCTTTCCCTAGAAGAGCCGCTATCAGCCAGGATGGGGGAGCTAAGCCCGTGAGCCAGTGTGGCTGGGGGCGAGGGGGTTACCTCCCAGCCAGCATCCTGCAGCAGGTACAGTATTGGGGCCAGGGGGGCTTTGGGCTGAGCAGGGAGTCAGTGTGCCAGGCCCTGCACCCACACTGAGATCCCTGCCCTGAAGAACCTCCCCCCGAAGTGGGGATGGAAAGTTGTTCTCTGCATTTTGCAGCTGGACCTACTGAGGTTGGGAGCCAGGGACTGGCCCAGAGTCATACAGAGGAATAGAGCCCGGCTCGATCTGAGTCCTAGCCCGGGGCTTCCTCTCAGATAGGGGGCGGGAGGGGGGCGGCAGCCACCAGCCCCACGGGGCAAAACCAGCCCAGGAGATTATGGAGCAGGCTCCGGCTCCCGGACGCTGCTGGCTGGGCAGTGCCAGAGCGGGGACCCCCTCCAGCGCCGGGATCAGCGCTTTCCCCCGTCCCATAGGTTCTCCCGGGACACAGGACCAACCCCTCCCGCGCCGGGGGAGCCGCCCCTCCCACCTGATCGGCTTGCTCCGCCCCCCACCCCTCCCCCCACCTGCTGGAGCCGCCCCACCTGGGCAACGGGCCCCTCCCCCGACTCCTCCTCCTGCTGCCGCCTGGGGCTGCGCTCAGGCACCTGCTCCGCTCTGCTGCGGGATGAGCGCGGCGCGGCAGCCGCCTGTGCTGGGAGCCGGCGGGATGGAGCCGCTGCCGCTGGCCCTGGGGCTGGCCGCGCTGCTGGGTGAGTGAGCCGGGCCGGGCACGGGGGCGCAGCGGGGAGAGCCCGGGGTGTGGAGCCCGCGCGCGGCTGGGAGCCCGGACTCTGCCCCGGGGCAGGGACCGGAGCAGTCCCGGGCGGCGGAGGGGGAGAGGAGCAGGTGCGAGGCGTGGCTCAGCCCCCGGCCCCCAGATCGGGGGGCTCCGCGCCTCCGGGGGTGTCTCGGTGCAGCGCCCGGCGCTTCTGCCCCCCCGGCACGGGCTGGCTCCGGGCGCCGCCCCGCTCCGTGCTGGGGTCACCGCTCCCCACCAGGAGCCCCGCAATCCGCCCGGGCAGAACCGACCCATCTCACAAGTTTCCAGCCCCTGGCCGTGAGCGCAGCCTCTCCCCCGGGGCAGCTGGGGGCGCTTCCCCAGGCTCCGAGCCAGCCGCGGAGGGACCCGGGCACCCTGGGCAGGTCCGCCTGGCCCTGCTGCTGTGGGGAGAGGGGGTTGTGCCTGGAGGAGCCATCCCTGGACACTGCAGCTCTGGGCCAGCCTGGGCGCCCTCTAGTCTCATGGCTCTGAGCGGGGCCAGCCCCAGGCGCTTCAGCCTAAGAGCAAAAACCCGGGAGGGCGCCAGTGGTGGGATAATGGATCCCCAGGGACAGCGCCTCCCTGCCCCTAGGCTGTCCGTGTGGGTGGGTTGTGCCCTGAAACGGGACAGTGGGTCCTCGGCGTTTTAAACATCTGGTCTAAAGGTAGCTGTGGATGTTCTCCTTGCCTGGGCAGGAGGACCCAAAATACAGGGGGTAAGGGAAGGGCTGGGTAGCTAAGCTGCTTCCTTACTGAGCATAACTTGTGTGCACGGCATAGCCTGTCCTTACCACCCACCGCCCTGGAAAGGGTTAAACACTCTACCCATGTGCACTGCACACAAGAAGTACAGTGACTTTTGACCCCTACCTGGGTCAAATTGAGCCGAGCTTTCATCAAACGCTCCAAAGTGTTTCTCTGCACAGGCTGTCGAGTTCAGCTTTCTACTCCCAGCTGGGTGTCAAACTTTTTTTTATTGAAGTCTCCCGTTGTTTGTAATGCGGTGAGTGTGCACCGTCCCTGTTTGTTCTCTGAACTGGATTTGCTCGAACTTTCCAAACACCTTTATGGAAAGAGACCAAGCCCCAGAAATATCAGCCAGAAAGGAGACTGTTTTGGAAAGTTACAAGCAACTGAAAACAGGGTTTGAATGAGATCCCTTAGGGAACCTTAACTGTAGTAGTCCTAGAGACCCTCCCTGAATGATAGATTGATTCCAAGCACTGTTAGGATCTGGTCTGACCTCCTGCATTACCCAGGCCACAGAAGTTCACCCAGCGATTCCTGCATCAAGTCCTGTTTGATTTAGTGGGGGGTTCGGTGTGCTCTGTACCTGGTGTATTTCTAAGGTCCAGTCATGGAGTTATCGAAATGCTTTTCTGTGAAAAGGACTCTGGGTTTGACTGCCAAAGCAGCCTAGGTCCCAAATCAATCTGCTTAGGCTGCTGTCACAAACAAGAGTGTTAGATTTGGAAGAACAAGCTGCATTCTAGGCTTGGTCTACGCTAGAAAATTGCATTGGTTTAATCACGTCAGTCAGGGGTATGAAAAAGTCACCCCCCTGCAAGGTGTAGTGAAGCTGTCCTAAGTCCCTGTGTGGACAGTGCTACGTTGCCGGACAAGGGATTATGTATGGTGACAGGAGACCCCCGCCCATCAGCATAGGAAGCACATTGGCATAGGAACCATACACTGAAGTGCTGCAGCACTGCGGCTGTGCTGCTGTCGTGTTTTAAGCATAGACAAGCCCCTAGTCTGCCCTGGGAGCCCACAGCAGATTTGCAGTGAGTGCTCCTGGATATATCTTATTGCTGGCAATGACAGGCAGACAGAGGCCATGTCTGCACTACAAACGTACGTCAACCTAAGTCACATCAGCATACAGCTGCTGCAGTTATTACATCGCTGGTGCATGTACACACTAGACTCCTGGTGTCGGTGGTGCACGTCCTCACCAGGAGCATTTGCATCAATGCAGAGTGCAGTGCGCTTTACTGACATCAATGTGAGCTGGTCAGGCATGAGGCTGTCATCTTTAAGACACAAGGCTGTTCAGGAACCTGCAAGGAGGGACATTCTTTCCTGATCGGTGAATTACCTCTGGGAATGTTGAAATGCTAATAGTGATCATGGGAGAGCCAGCCTATCCCTTGCTCCCCTGGTTCATGAAGCCATACACCGGCCACTTCGACAGCACCAAGGAACAATTCAACTACAGGCCCAGCAGGTGCAGAATGACAGTCAAATGTGCCTTTGAGTGTTTGAAGGGTTGCTGCCCGTGGGCAGTAGGTATCATAGGCAGGGGGAGGCTGTGCCTCCCCAGACAGCCTAGCGTGGCCAAGCCCATGCTCCGCCCCCAGGCCAGGCCACCTCCTGTGGTTCCCAGTGCTCTCCCCTGGCTGGCCCAGGCTCACTGGGGCTGGCTGGCCCAGGCTGGCTGGGGCTGGCTGGCCTGCCTCCTGATCCCGCAGGGACTTAAGGCAGCTGGTGCTAGGGCCACGCCGCTCAGAGCACTGGCGCTGGGGACGGCCTGGGTGCCCGGAGCACTGGGGCTGGGGGCGCTGCAGCCACACTGCCCAGCCTCCCAGAGCACCGGGTCTGGGGGCGCAACTGCCCAGCACTCCTGGGCTGGCCGCCCAGCGCACCAAAGCTGAGCACTACTGCCCGGCTGCCGGGGTCACGGTGGGGGTGCTCTGGGCTACTGCAGGGGAGAGGGGCAAAAGGGAAGGGTGGGCAGAACAGGAGGGGCAGGGGGCTAACCTCCCCCAACAGCTGGGTCACTGACCGCCCATGTTGCTGGTGTTGTTTACTTACAAGCTTGGACTTCAGTGAGGAAAAATATCCCAATGGTTATAGCTGTCTGCTGTGTTCTGCATAATATCTGTGAAGCTAGGGGGGAAAACATTTCCCCCGGGGTGCAGGTGGAGTGGCTGTCTGCTGAATGTGAACAGCCAGATACAAGGGCTCTTAGAAGAGCTCAGCATGAAGCTATATGGCTCAGGGAGGCTTTGAAAGAACATTTTAATAGTGTGCCAGAGTAGTGTGTGTTGCAGCAGTGGGCTCTACCTGGCCCTGCTCATTTGCAGCCCGGTATGAATCTTGTAGTGAGTGCTGCATATGTAGGACTATAACATTGTCAATGCACCTATTAATAATGTCTGTGGATGATGTTATGGGTTCTGTGACAAAGTGAAGTAACAGGAAATTGGTGAGTGTCAGACCTGCTCAGCATCAGACTGCACATGTTGTGAACTAATAAAGGTTAATTTTGTTCCAAAAATGTAATTTTATTCTGTAACATGAACCAGGAAATTTAAAAAAATTACAAATCTTAATCCATGAAAGGGAACAGAACTTTTGAAGGGGAAAGAACACTCATTCCCATTTCAGGTACACACAAACCAACCGTGGCTTTCACAGGTCAGTGTATGTGACGCTGTGAATGTCTTTAATGTCTCCCAAGGTGGAGTGGCAACGGTAGTGCACTGACCCCTGCTGCCACCTGGAATGTTGGGGGCAGAGGGTATAGGGAGGTCCCGATATTGAATTCTCAGTGGGCTGCAGATGGGGCTGAGCATGGGATTGTTGAACCTGCAAGTCTGCCAGAGTCCACAGCATCTGTTTGCTGCCTGAGAAGCGCAAGCACCTCCTGCTGCACATTCCTTCCACTCCAGGCTGTCTGCAGTGGTGATCCTCCAGGCCCTGTGCTCCTTCTCTGATGCAGCATTGGCTTGTAGGATCTCCTGGAACACGTCCTCCAGAGTCCTCTTCCTCCTCCTCTTTCAGCACCACATTGTTTGTTGGCCTCCCTGGCCTTCTGGTACGCCTGCTGCAGCTTCTTGGGTTTCATGCAGTGCTGCTACGGGCCCCTGTTGTAGCCCTTCTCCTGCCTCCGCCAAGCAAACTGCTCGTAGATGTCCATGTTTCTGTGGTTGGGTCAGAGCTGTACTTGCACAGCCTCTTCTCCCCACAGGCCCAGGAGATCCAATATCTTCCGTCCGCTCCAGGCAGGAGCGCATCTGCAGCGTGTAGCCTGCATGGTCAGCTGGGCAGTTACACTCAACAATGGAGAAGTGCTAGGTGCTCACCAAGATAAGGAATTTCAAAAATTCACAGAGCTTTAATGGGGAGGGCAGTGGAGTTCACAACAGTGACCAGAGTGGTCACTGCAGGGCATTGTGGGACAGCTTGTGGAGGCCAGTAACAGTCAATGTAAGTAACAAAGTGTCTACGCTATCACGGTGTCGATCGAACTACATTGACCGTGACTCTCCGCTGCTCTGGGCGGTGATGTTATTAAGTCAGCGTAGCAGGGCACTTACGTCTGTGGGAGCCAAATGTAAGTGTAGACACGTGCACAGCTAGGTTGACTTAAACTGCCTTGTGTCCTAACCATATAGTGTAGACCAGGCCACTCAGAGACCAGGTGGAGGTTGCAGTGATTGATGCCATTTCTGCTGTGCCACTTTTTACTGTGCGTTGTTTTTTACCATTGTGGTTCCCACAACCCTCCCTTACCTGGACTGTTCTCTTGTCTTGTCTTGGTTTGGCTTGATCTAATTTAGATGGAAATCTGCTGGATGTAGCGTGTGGTTAATCTGTTTGTAGGGCACCGTGTAAGTGTGTATGGGCCTTTATAAATGATTTGTGATGATATAGCTTATAGAGTCAGTGACAGCGCTAATCCCATTAAAAATGCTACCCTACGGATTCCCAGCCTTGAATTGCTGAAATCACCGAGAGCCGGGAAAGGAAATTCATTTTTAGTAACTGAAAAGCATTGACGCTAATTGTGAAATAACTGCGCACACATCTGGGATGATCACAGCATTGGCAATCTTATTCCATGTGGGCTCGCTGGGGAAACGTGTCCGGCAAGTCTGTCACTTTCCTTCATTTCGCACGATTGGTGAAATCTGTGCGTGTCCTGGAATGGGTTTTCTATCTCGC